TTGATGTCAGTAAATGTGGCGAATATCGAACATAAAACCAACTTCACCGCGCTACCGGAATATGACGTCAGCATCACAGAGATCATCTATGAATGAAGGAATAAGCTAATCCACATTTAAAATAATTTGCGAGAAATTTAGCAGATAAACTTTAAAACACAAATGGACAATTTGTAGTTAAAAAAAAATCTAAAATTTAATACCTCGTAAATTTGCGTGTAATACCTTTTAATACTTTTTAATGGCTTTCATTTTTGCTTATGTGATTTACTACCTTTTAATACTTTTTAAAACCCCGTGGACACCCTGAAATAAGAGTAAAATCTGTGTATTTGTGCCCTGCACATTCAGACCTTAATACCATTCCTTAACTTTGGTTTCATTTCATCTTGGTGAACATAATGACTTTCTGAGGGAAACTATAAACATTACATTTTACACTTTTCATTTTAGTCAACTAAATCAACTGTAGATTTAGTCGACTGTAATCTTACGATATTTAGTCAGCTAAAACAAGACTAAAACTAAAATAATTTAGATGACTAAATTATGACAAACTAAATTACATTTTAGTCAAGACTACAACAAACTAAAAAATTTGCTGTCAAAATTAAAACTGCTACTGAGTATGATTTTGAGTTGCTGCAATGAAATTTCGGCAAAATTGACTAGCCTGCTGCATCATTTTTTGCCACTTTGATTTTTTGAGTATTTTTGAATTCAGGTTGAGAGTTTTCATTTCCATCAAATAATGTAGCATTCTTTCATTCCTAACACATTACCCAATCCATATCAGTATAGAAATCCAGCATGATTTTTCCCCCCCCCCATTGAGATCTGATGTGTTTTCAAAGCATTCCTTTAATTGTTTTGAGCAGTGTATATAAATGGTAAGTTAATAAAAGATCGATTTCGGAGTTAGTGTGGTGATACATGAATTGCCGTACAATAAAAACAACTGATTTTCCCCACCCATCTCTAAGACACACACACACAAACAAACAAACAAACAAACAAAAACAAACAACCCAGCTCTATTTAGCAGTATAAAGTTAATAAAAAGAAGGGTAACTTGTGGGCCTAGAACAGGGCTGGCCAATCCAGAAAGGGCTGTTGTTTATGTGGGTTTTTGCTACAACTCCCTAATTAGATTACTAACTAGAGGACTAATTGACTCAAAAGTTCTAAACCCTGTGTTTTAACAGCTGACCTAAAGATTATCCCAAAAGCCTGCACACACACTGGTCCTTTGCGGATAAGAATGGCCACCACTGGCTTAGAGCAAGCCCTTATAATACACAGGCAAACACATATATCCATTTATTATAAATAAAAATATACATATAAAAGGACCAACTGTCAATAGGACACTCTTTAAATGCTGAACTAAAGACCAAAGTGGAAGAAATACCTGCAGGTTGTACGTTGAGCCTGGTGTGTCATATAGATGTAGAGGTAGCCTTTCAATGGACTCCAGCACTGCTATTAGCTTTCTAATTAAGGCAACTGCAGGTCGGCTGGATGGGGTCAAAATAATGTAACTAGAAAAAAGTCAATGCAGTCATCATACGTAATGTTAACAAAGCTCTGGAGATTACCTTTCGTCATCTTCATTTTCACTGAAAGCAGCTTTAAATACATTGATTCTTTCCATTAATGGCTTGCAATCCTGCTTCACATCAAGATCCACACTCTATCAAAAGAAAAGGAAAAAATATGGCTGTAATGTTTTTAACCTGTAATGCTGAAAAGCACACAACAAAATCCATCACTAAACATGACCATGAAAGCCCCTATCTTATAGACTGCAGACTAATGGCAGGGGGAATACAGAACTGAACCTTATACCCATTGTAGTACCTATTGCTGCTTGATAACTATTTTTCTGATTCACTTACAAATCATTTCAATATTTTATTGGTAAACATGTTACACTAGGATTCAGCACTAGTGGCAAGGTCAGTATTCAGAACTAAGTATTTATATAGAGCATTAAAGAGTTTTATGTTTTTTATGACCACAGTATTTTTTTTTCCCCAAATAATTAATGTCTGACTTTTTTTCAAAGTTAGGGTACCCCCAACCTAGTAATTTCCTGAGATAAATGTTCAAAATGAAAATTCATTTTTACATAAATCTGATTACACCTCAGAAATGGTGTTAGGCCTATTAAGGTAAGCAAACAATTTTAGGAGCTGAGATACTTTCATCTTTAATACCTAAACTCTTTGTACAGTAAATGATAACAGACTAGTGTATTCTTTATCTGGGCTTCCAGTAAGGGTACTTCTCCACTGCACCAAGCATTAAGTTCCAGTCGAGTACCAGTACCAAAAGTGCCAAACCAGCTGGGGTACTTTTTTGGTACTTTGGTGTGGGACTTAAAACACTTTCTTTGTCAAATGGTTATGCAAATAGCTTGCATCTGACAAATGCAAACCATGCCGATCTCTGAAAACAACAATAAATGAAGTAAAAAAATTAATTAATTGTAATCTGGTCTGAAGAACAGATACAACGAAAAGACCAGGATGGCATGACAAGAAATTAAATAAATATTTTGTTTAATATACTAGGACAGCACGCTATATGCATATTTACGCCAGTGGAAAACCAACACCTTGAAGTACAGTACTTTTGGTACTTTCTCGCTGGTGCGGTGGAAAAGAGCCCCAACACAACAGAAATAGTAAAAACCAGTTAACTATTAAGGATCTACGTGGTGTGCTTACATTATTCAGGACAGTAAAAAGTGCCTGCACTAGACCGCTACTGCACATTTCATATGGGGAGATAGTGTTTTCATCCTTCAGGACCACGATTAAGTTTTCTAGAGCAGTTTTCATCAGGTCTCGCCAGGTGCTCTCCCCTTCAATACACTGCAAGACACAAAATGGCATAAATACGTGCTTTTATAACATCACACACTCCTTCAAAGACAATCCAACAACAGCTGTGATTTTCCAAGTTTCACTTAGTAGCACCGAAGCCAGTTATATGTTGATGAGCAAACAAACCGGGAATGACAACAAAACCATCGATTAATGTCATGGCGATGGCCCTGCTGCTGGAACATCTGAAATACACCAGAATAAGTGCTGCTCCACCTGTCTGTTTGTGTGCAGCTCCCACGCAGACTCCAGCTGGGTAGCAATGTTCCTGAGGGTGACCACTACACCCCTAGGCATGCTCTCGACTGCTTTAAAGTGATCGTCATACAAATCCCGAGCCATGGCCTTAACCTGCACATGAATACAAATTAAACTAGAATCAGTACTGTCAGAATCTCTTAAATACTTGGTAAAATAAACTTCATCCAAGGGAGACAAAAGGAGGACAATACAACAAAACATGTTTAACAGTTAAAGGAGTTTTACATATAGGACATACAGGGGGATCTACATCTGTAAGTAAAACTATGTTAGTTAGCATACAATACTTTGCAAAGATGACCCGCTCCCAACCTTTTTGTAAAGTTTATGCTTGTTATCTTTCCAATAATTGGACTGATTACATAAAGACTGTTATTAATATTTTCATCCCATTCAGCTTTCCAAATGTTCATTATATGAGAAATGGGTAGAGGTTCGAGATGTGAGGGTGGCACTAAACACTGTTATATATTCGAGTATAGGGCTTTCTTGGCAGTGGTATCTGCCTGTTCATTGCCAGGCACTCTGCAGTGACCTAGCACCAAACAAAATTTGAAGAGGAAAAATAAAGTACAAAGTTCTTCTGTAGCACTGTATACACAGTCTGAGGACAATATACTACAGCCCCCCTCCCCCCAGATATGGCCAGCAGATCTGTTCTAGCAAGCACATGACTCATCAGTACATCACAGTGCAAACAAGATTACTAGAAATCATAAGTCATGAGTCTGGAACATATGGCTGATTATCTGCTGTATCACTGTTAGCGTCTGCCTTTCCACCCGTGCGACAACTGCGGGGAAAGAAGACTGGCCAACAGAACGGTAAAAATGTAAAATGTAAAAATAAAAAGAGTATTCTAAAAGCGGTAGAAAAGTAGCATCATTAAATATTTTCTGAAGTACTAGGCAACACCATGTTTGCTAGAATAGTAAGGATAGTAAGGGTCTTATAATTGAAAACGACATTGACATAGTAAATGAGTTCAATGATAGTTTTGCACGGGTATTCACT